ATGTAATTTCTTATAGTTAGGTAAACGGAACTAGTTTAAACTGGCGGTCAGTTCTTAACGACGGAAATGGCAAAGCAGGGTTTACATGTATTTACCATTTTTATTTGAATTGGTAAATCCATATGGTCGTTTACACATGGCTAACCTTCGGAATAGGTCAAAACCGCCGGGGATAAGGATAAGCATTAGGCCGAAGGGAGTTATTGCCGGAGTGTGGGAACTCTTAAAGCGAATATGGGTCAGTAGTGCCGGGGGTCGTTAAACCTTCGGCCTTCCCTTCGACTCTCTTCGTTACAAACTCGTCGGAAAATGTCATACATGATGATCATCCTGGATTTTGTAAACAGGAGCATTTGTTTATCCTCTCGCTCGCTCTATATGTTTATCGCTCTTTCGATCTTTCCTCTTTGCCCTTCTTTCTTACCATTTCCTTCAGACGATTCCGTTTCTTTTTTTCTCTCTTTAACTTGCAACCATCTTATGCACAGTGACAAATCAATGATTACCTGAGCATGAAGATTGACGTTTTTTCCCCTTCTTTTTCTGTAGCGCATTGTACACCGAAACCAGGGAAATGACAAGAGTCACTATTTATCAGAATGCAAAAGCACTTTTGCAATTTTTTAGTTTTAAAAGCTAGTATTTTCTATTCTGTTTATGTAGTTATTTTAATCACTTTTTTCATTTTAATATTTTTGGATTTCTTCTTTTGTTCACAATGTTCTGAAGAATTTTAACTAGAATCCCTTTGCACAATAATTTAAAAGCTAAGTAAAACGTAAAATTATAAAAAAATTTCATTTTTTTATCCAGTGAATTCAGGTGTAGTAAGCATGCTTTTTCTGAAAAGTCAAGCTGAAGCTCTAAATCTTCTTAACAAATAAATACATACATCTTTAATTTTTTTGGGGGGGAGTAAATAAAATAAACAGAAAAGAAAATATTTCATACTCAGGAAATAGTTTATATTTTCTGAAATGTCAATCTGAAATGTACTCAGTAAAACTTTTTACCCTTTATTCTCGCTAATTTTTATTTTCAGGATTATACACATTGCTAACAAATTGACGAGAAAAACCCCCTTTAAGGTATTGCAAAATCACTTTTTCAGGATTTGTCCATTAAGCCAAAAAAAAAATGTTTGCATTTATTTATTCTATATTTTTTATTTTTTATTTTTTTTAATCATCCAAGAATAATCTCAATTTACTGTAGTTTTTCTCCCTTTTGTTTGTTCCTTTTTCGGTTCGGTACAAATTTCAACCAAGTGACTAGAAAAAGAAAACATTTAAAATGACGTAAAGCCAGTTTTTCAGGATTTTTCCTTTGGGCCAGAAAAAAATGTCATTTCTTGTTTTGGTATACCGTATAAAGCTCAATTTACTGATGTTTTCTCTCCCTTTTGTTCTTTCTTTTCTAGAACAACAAAGTATAAAAATGCCCACGAAGTGACTGGAAAACATATTTAAAATGACGTAAAGTCATTTTTTCAGGATTTTTTATTATCATTTTTTTTTCCCGTATTAATTTACTGACGTTTTCTCTCCCTTTATTTTTTTTCTTTTCCGCATCAGTATTGTACAGAAATGACTAAATGACTAAAAAACTATTTACAATAATCTAACATCACTATTCCAAGATTTTTTCCTTTTGGTCCACAAAAATGTTTGCATTTTTTTTATATATACCAGATCAAGCTCAATTTATTGAATTTTTTCTTCCTTCATTTTTTCTAGTACAGGATTGTACACAATTGCGAACGAAGTGGCAGACTTGGGGAAAAAACATTTAAAACGTAATCACTTTTACAGGATTTTTCCTTTGGGCCAGAAGAAAAATGCGAACATTTCTTTTTTCGCTACCCTTATCAAGCGCAATTTATTCACGTTTTTCTCTTTTTATTTCTTCCGTTGTATATTTATTATATATTCATATATTTATACAATGGAAATTAATTTTCTGACCTACTATCAACAATAACAGTAATATGCTGCTATTTGTGGTTGGTGTGAGAGAAAAAAGTAAAATATGCTTTTTAAATTATGATAAATAGTCGTTTTATTTTATATGAGAAGTTTGGTGTATAACCTTGTAAAAACTCCACTGGAAAGCATGGCCGATTTGACATTTGAATTTCGAAAAATTATAATTCCAGCTTATGAACTTTTACCCAGATTGCAACAAATTCTTTGTAATCATAACACCTATCAATCTGTTGTTTTGAGAAAAAAAGTGTTCATTTTAAAAAAATATTCTACGTTATAGCTAGATATACAAAAAAACTAAGATTACAAGCTTTTAATTAGTATAAATATAGTAGTACAAATCAAACAATTCCACCTATATGGGTGTCGAGGACGAGGGTCAAAACCACGTTACAATACTTTTTCAAAATTAATCTCAAATAAAATTCCAAGGACTATGACTGGATTTGAACCAAGAACCGCTATTGTGCCAAATACGAGTCGACCACCTGGTCCCCTCACATCAACATTTATAATGTACCCTAAATCCTGTGAAATTCCAAAGATACTTCTTAGCTTATTTTTAATAATTAATTAGGTCTGTGAAAATTATTGAGTATTCGTTTACAGCAGGTCTGATCTGAGATTTTTCTGTTTGCTAATAACCTCGACGACATACTCCACCGGGAAGTGTTTACTTCATCGTTGTACATAACATCGTAAATCTAAACTCGTATTTTTTTAAGGAAATGGCTTTCCTTACTGGTAAAATTAATCAAGCAGATTGGCTAAGTGAATGGCACGCCTGAGAAAGGTTCTTGACCGATTTTTCTATTTTGACGTTGACCCTTTCACTCGTTTCTATGTTTTGTACTAACAGACAGAATTCAACAAAAACTATAATGCTGAATCGTTATTTTTTCGACAAAAAAGGGTCTAGGATAAACAAATCGTGTTCATATATATCCAACTGCTATCTAAAAACTAATATTTTCTACCACAAATGGAACGGTTGTAAGCTCCTTTCACCGAAAAAAAAATCGTGAGTCAAATACAGGAAATGTTTATCCACTTCACCCATGCAAATAATAAATAAACATTTTAAAAAGTTAGGCAAATCCTTCCTTCCGGCCACTTTCTCAAAGTTCGAATGGAAAAAATTAGAGCGAAATTATAGCACTTCAATATTTATAAACCGGCTGATCGGCAATAAATTCTTCGATTCGGCTTAGATTCAATCTTAACAGCGTTTTGATCAAATTTGACCATCTCTGGCCCGCTTGTTCAAGTTCTAGATCTAAAATCGGACACGTTTCGACGCAACATTCGAAGGAGAAATTAAACATTTCAGTTAAGACCTAAATATTTTTAAAGGTTAATTAAACCATTAATCTTTCATGCTGATTTTTCTTTTTTTTCTCGTTGATTTATTATTTCATCTGTCGGAAAAGAATTGAATCAGAACTCCGGGTGTATCTATGCAAAATAACCGCAACCATAAATTTTAAGACTCACTTTCTGTGCTTTGATGTAGTCTGCATGACAAAATTGAACGGGTGAAATCACCAAAAAATGCACGAAAAACATGACATTTCGAAAGATGTATGTTTATTTGAAAACTAGGCCTGTAAGTAATAGGGTACGAATGCCTCCTTCGGGCGGATTGGCCCTCTAACGGTCTGTAACAGTACAACATCACTGCAGTGTGGCCTCTGCAATTTCTGGAGAATGCTGGACCTAACGGCCTCCCGGCCGCAATTGTATTCTTTTACTGGTTTATTTTAATTCCGTAGACCGGCCGCAAGATGACAAGACTCTTTGTGTACGTTCACGGTGGCTATTACTGCCGGAAAAACGAGGCTTTGCAATTATACGATAATTGTCGGGAAACTTTCTCTGATTGGGAATTATCTAGAAAGAGTCGAAGCATCCTCTGGTTTTCTACACTTTCCGATGATTAACCTCAATTAAACAACATGTTAATTTTTCTTTTCTGGCCAATCCCTACCTATTGATGATGTGAACGTTCTACCAAAAGGTCACGGTTCGCCAAATACAAACATACCAAGTGCTGATCAATTGAAATTCTAATAATGCTGACATCTTAATCCAATAAAAACATCCAACATGGAAGATTCTTACATAATATATATGTACAATGTATCTAGTAAAAAATAAAAAATAAATTTTATTTATCTTAATGTTTGATAAATTATAATTCACTTAAGTTAAAACACAGTTTATTACTAAAGATGGCAAAAGATAGGCAGACCAAACACGATCAGAAATAACCAAATTACAACAAAAATATAGCAATTTTTACCAGCCTATCATCAGTTTTGGTATGTCAAACTTTTCGCTATATTTGGTGGTTGGGCGGTGGGTTATTTAGTCAACCAAATCCTTTTATAAGTACGCTCACTGTAGGTGAAAAATATATAGACCAAAACTGCGCTTTTTGCGTGCCTATCCCCACGGTTTCGATACGTCAGACATTTCGCTTCTTTGGGCGGTGTGTTATTTAGTCAACCGTGGCCTTTTGCAAGTACGCTCAATATAGGTGAAAAGTCTACACGTCTAAAAAACCAAAACAGCTAGGATAGGTAGACCAAAATGATCAGAAACGACCAAAACACAACAAAATTGTTGCGCTTTTTCCATGCCTATCCTCACGGTTTTGGTACGTCAGGCTTTTCACTATCTTTACTGGTTGGGCAGTGTGTTATTTCCTTTTATAAGGACCAAGTCCAAAAGTAAAAAAAAAAAAAAAAATAGATAGTCGAAAATGATGAGAAACGACCAAATTTCACAATAAATTTGTACGAAACGACCCCACAGGCCTAAAGAAGAAATCTAACAGTAACAAATAATGAAACAAAGGCAATGAAAAAGTTAAAAATTATTTCTGTAGGCCAAAAGTACAAACATTTGATAAATTAAATCGTCGAATTATCTATTTTAAAAAAGCATTTCATTTTGGAACATAATAAATACATCAATTTCTTTGGAATTTAATAACGACTTTTGATTTTTCAGGTTGTGGACTGTTGAGAGGCCGCGAGGGAACGGTTCGACATATCAAGCAGTGCGGAGGGCCTGCAGAGAACGGGGTTGCCTTTATGAAGACAACGAGTTCCCACCGCTTCCTCGGTCTTTGTATAGGCACAAAAAACCGCACCTGCATCCTATCATTTGGATGAGACCTCACGTAAGCACTGCTTTCTCTTCGGTGTTGTTTTTCACAAGAAAATATTATCGGCTTTTGCAAATTCTCGCCGGTTTCACTGGGTACGTTGCCGTTTGGAATGGAAGCTTGTCTGGCTGGTCCGGGGGTATCGGGCTATAATGACAAATGACGATAAACGACCTTTGAACTTATGCCAAAATATATTTTTCAAGATCCACTTCTTATTGAACTTTGGCTAAAATCAACTGAATTTTGTTCGTAATACCTTTATTTTAAAAAGAAATGTAAAATCAAAACAAAAAGCGTCTCATTCCAAAAGCAGCCAGGGATTTTTTAAGGTTTTTGGGGCTTGAATAAGGATTTTAAAACTCCTTTCCTCCACTACGACCTATTTTCGTCCCCAATAAATTAAAATCATATCTTGAAAAGTACACTATTTTCTATAAGTCTAAGCATTTCCTTGGTGCCTCTTCGTGCACCTCTTTTGGTCCACTTACCAAAGTGGCTGTTCAGTAACTAGGAATGCTTCACAAAAGACATGTGCCGATGTCTCTGATTCTTCCTGACAGATTCGGCACTTTTCTGTTTCTGCTTTCCTATCTTCTTTAGATGGTAGTTAAATAACAGTGGCCGGTATAAAGCCCTATAATTTTCCTCAAATGCTGCCTGCTGAAATAGAGGAGTTTCTTTGTCTTTCTTTTTGAGATATTTATAAATCTCTTAGCTTGTCTTATACCTGATCTTTTGTACAGAGCTTGAGTTTTTCTCTCTCAAGCCATTTTTCTAGATCCAACTTAAGCATATAAAACCAGTCCATCTAGTTGCGGTTCTGGTCCTATGAGTGAGAGGGCTGCCTCTTTTTTGGTTAGTTTGTCACTCTGTTCATTTCCTTCTATACCTCCATGCCCCACTTTAAAGTAATTTTGGGTTTTGCTAGAGTCATTAGGCAATTTAGGCACTCTTAGAGAAGTTTGGAATTGAAAAAGTTCGCTTTCAGGACCTTTATAGCTGCCTGGCTGTTTGAAAGTATATAAATCTATGCACCTTTCTTATTTTTCTTTAACTACTGTGCACTGAATTGTATTGTATGGACAACATAGCCAGCCGACAGATAAGTCCTTTCCCCAAACTTGACTTTCAAATCATACAGGTACTGAGTGAACATGGAAAAAATAGAGCTTATCGGAACAGGTTTAACACCGTACCTGAACCCTACTGCCTCTGTGACAGACGTTCACCACAAACTTGGGAACACATAATATTTCACTATCCTAACTTCAAGCAGCAGAGATTTGTTCTACTTCGCTCCTGCGTCCTGCTGAACATCTGGCTAATTTCCAACCTAACAACATTTGTGCAAAATAAAGACCTATGTAAAGAGCTAATACATTATCTAAGAAATATTGAATTTCAAAACTTATGAACTTTTTCAAACTAAACATTTAAAATTAAATGAAAAACTGTATTTTATACAAAAGATATAAATGTAAATGTACACTTCTAACCATAAACAAAAATTTACTATTCATTATAAATTTAACATTATTATACAAATAAAACAAAATGATTAAATAATTAACATTGTTCTGCATGAGATATACATGTGATATTAAAATGGAGCATGTAAGTATGCATCAATAAACTCACTGTTACTCTCGCTAGAAAAAAAAAATTGTACACCTTGACCCACTCATACTTAAATATTTAAATATTTCCTTACATACTGTATAACTAGTGGAGGGTGAATTAGGTAGTCAATATTCCGCTACACATTCATGCTAATAAATACATTCAATCTCAAAACGAGTGTATATATCAAACACTATATACAATACAACAGCCCTGTGACCTCCAAAAATTGGAACAGAGGTCCAAAATACTCTCCACTGTGCCAAAACACATTTCCAAAATTGGGCGGCATTCCTACTGGCTCTCTACATGGAGCCAAGAAATGACACGTTACTAGGATACATTATGTTTCTACACATACCAGACACATATGTGTCGGGTGAGGAGGTTCCTCTTCTACAATTCAGATCAGAATGTGCTCTTCATAATTAGCTTATCTTCTGATCTGACCTGCTGTCCTGCCATTTCCTTTTAATCATATTTGTATTGCTTTTTTTTTACTTTGAGGGCTGAATTGCAGTGGCCAGAAGATTGTTTAATATACAAGAAGATGTGTATATAAACAGTGTGTATTGGGCTCCAAAAAAGAGTAATATTTATCTAAAATTCATTTTATTTGAATTACAATGAACATTGTCCAAGAATTTTTAGAGATTTTTTTTATTATTTGTAAACCTGGTCTATATATCAGTAACATTTGCGGGCTTTGGCTCAAAATTGTTCATATGGCATGTTCTCACATGGCCTATTCCTTATCAGATGAGAATGATTCATCTTTTATGATTTAGATATTAAATATTTTTGTAAAAGCTTGGGGTTACTCTCTCAAACTCATCCTTGATAATCCCCCATTTTTACTTGAAAAGTTGGACTATAAAATTTGCAATAAACAAATTATTTCTGAATTTCCCACAGAAAATTTAACTTTTTCTAATTAAACTAAATCTATAAATTACTAAATAATAATATCTTAATAAATATTAATACATAAAGAATGAAAATAATACTGCCTTAGTCTGAAATAGTNATATATATACATGTACAACTAATATTATAGTTATATTTATAAACTACTTTGCACATTATTATAAATATCGTTTAATCGATATTTTCAAAAACTCATTGCTTCTTAAATGGAAGTTGGTTTATGACAATTATTCCTAGCTTTAAGGGGATAAAGAAAATAACTTTCAAAGGAATTTCAATAGCCTATTCTCTTTGATTAACAGTAAGAGGATTAAACTCATTTCTACAATGAGAAAGAGCCCAACTCTGCTTTCATTTTGTACTGGCAGTATTTTGTTATTTGGCTTTTCCTGTTGGCTATTACCATTTCAATTCACCAGAATATTGTAAAATATTTACCCTCATTGCCAAATAACCATTATTATTTTGTGGTATTTTTGTTTTTAAAAAATGATTGAGTTAATTAAAATAATTTATTCTTTAGTATTTCTTGGATTTTAATTTTTCCCTTCTGTTTTAGGAGATGTGCCAGCGGCCTAGATTTTACTCAGAAGGTAGCCGAAGCGATATCGAAAGTGGTGAACTTGGTGATTCTTGGTTCATCGGCGCTGTTTCTTCCCTTACTCTCACCCCGAGATTCCTCGACCGAATCGTCCCACCAGACCAAAGTTTTGACACTACATCAAATTATTGTGGACTTTTCCGGTAAGACAGAGGAAACTAATGACAATATTACATTATTCTAATTTAAAATTATTTGCATATTTCAGGTTTAGGTTTTGGCACTTTGGAGAGTGGAAAGAAGTTCTAATTGATGACAGACTCCCAACTTTCAAGGGACGACTGGTATACTCCCACTCGACCAATCCAACTGAATTTTGGGTCGCATTACTAGAGAAAGCTTATGCCAAGTAACTTTTTTATATTATTATTTATTACTTATTTTCTTCTCTTTTTGTATATTGTTTTAATTTTGATTATTCTAACTGTAGATTATACGGATGTTATGAGAACCTCAGCAGTGGTGGTAGTACTACAAGAGCACTGCAAGATCTGACAGGAGGGATTGTACAAAGTTTTGGACTGACTAATCAAGATAGGTACCTAACATACCAAGTCTTGAATAGTGCTGTACCACGATCTAGTCTTCTTATTGCAAGCATCAATCCAGTAAGTTATGAATCTCGTGATAAAGAGAACAATGCAAATTTATCGTAATTTATTTATTTTAGGAGAAAGAGAACAAAAGACAGTTGAGACTGAGAAATGGACTCATGACCCAAACAGCTTACAGCGTCACAGGGCTTGCAAGGGTGAGAGGCCATGCCGGTGAGACACCACTTGTGAGACTGAGGAACCCATGGGGAAAAGGAGAATGGACTGGCCCTTGGTCTGAAAGATCATGGGAATGGGATGCACTATCAGAACGGGACAAAGAACTGCTCAGTGTCCGGGTTCGAAATGACGGCGAGTTCTGGTGAGAAATAAATTTAAACTTATTTTGATGCATTTATTCATAAAAACATTTTATTATTCCAGGATGTCTTTTGAGGACTTTGCAAGACATTTCACCCATCTGGATCTAGTTCATATTGGTCCGGATGACTGGATGGTGGAACCAGCTTTACAAACAAAACAGCCATGGAGGGCTGTTCTAGCAAGACGAAGATGGAGGAGTGGTCACAACGCTGGTGGAGGACCAAACTTTACAGGTACTATGAACATTAGAATAAAACGTAAAGGCTTTATTTTTGACAATTCGTTTAGCCTTGGCAAGCTATTTCTAGGTATTGTGAGAGTTCTCCATTTGGTCTGCGAAGTGACAAGCCTGTAATTTGGTTCTTACTGTTCATTTTGGTCTGCCTATCCTCACTGGGTTTTGTTGGTTTGTTCATTGTTGGATCATCAAACCCCAGTATGCATAGGCAGATCAAAATTATCGATAATGACCGAATTACATATTCTACATACATTGGTCAGGAACAAGGATTAAACAGAGAAAAATAGATAAAGTCTATTTATCTTCTCTTTTTTTTGGGGGGGGGGGATTAGCACATTTTGAATTCCTACAAAAAGTCAACAAAATAATAATTACAAAGTATGCAAAAAAAAATTGCATCTAATAATTCAACATTGGAATGATTTTTTTCAGAAACAACAGCAATGAACCCCCAATTTCACATCATGATACCACGTACTACATCGAACAAATGCCATGTTGTCGTTTCGGTAACTCAGTACTATGAAACACAGCCAGAAGCTAAGAAGAAAAAACATCTCTATGCCATAGGTTTCGCAGTTTATGAAATCCCTCCGTCCATGTCGAGGTTGACTCCACAGTTTGTCGTTGAACAGGTAAAACTAGTGAGAAAATTTTTCAATTTTGTTTTTACAACATAAATTAATACAAACACAAACCCGCAGAAACCCTTGGACGTTACAAATCATTCTGTAGCAAGAGAAGTGGTGACATTTTTCACTCTGCCTCCCGGCGATTATATTATAGTCCCTCAAACCAACATTCCGAACTGTGATGGGAAATTTCTTCTGAGGATTTTAACAGACGAACAAAGTAACATTTGGTATGAAAGTTCAACTTCTACATATATTCTTGATACTTGCTTTTGTCTTACTAATAAAAATGTTCATTTCAGGGAAGTAAACGAAGATAATATGGTTTTTAGGAATATTTCTGCTGAATTTTTAGAAGATGCATTAGTGTTGGTAATTATTTTATTTTTAAATATCATACTTATTGCATAAGTAAATAAATTCCAAGTGCGTAAATAAACATTGTAACATAATTTTCAGCCTGATGGAAAATCACTAGTGACAAAATTACTTCTTAAGTATCCTCCTGAGGTTGATGTAAACCAGTTGCATAAAATACTAAAGTCACATTGGAAAGGTTGTATTATTTTTTAATTAAAAAAATAATAATTTAATTAAAATTGGTCATTTATAATTGCAGCTTATCTTCTGGAAAAGCCTTCTATAGAACTGTGCAAAAGCTTAATTATGTTAAGGGATGTAAACATCAGCGGAAGAATCAACTTACTCGATATTCCCATACTCATGCACATGCTTCAGTTTTGGAGGGTATGAATTATAAAGAAAATTTAATATGCATCTCTTTATTAATTTACCTTAATAACAGATAGCATTTGAGAAATTTGACAAAGGCAACCACGCAAGCAAAACTTCCAGTTACAATCTAAGAGCACTACTCTGGGAAGCCGGAAGCACAGTGAGCAATAAAGTCTTGGAATGCCTTGTCCTTAGGTTTGCTAAAAACACTATACTCTCAGCTGAATGTTTTGTAATGGCGATGGTCAGACTTCATCTAGCACATGGTACAAACTTTTACTTTTGCTATGATAGCTCCTCCAATACTATTTATTTCTTTTATTCTTATTTCCAGAGAGGTATCATAGTTTAGACACAAAAATGAAAGGGAATCCTATTTCTTTAGAAGAGGTACAATATTTTATTTAATGTAAAACATAATGAAATCAGCTTTTATTAATTAAGTTTCAACACAATATTTTTTAATGTTTCAGATGATTCTAATGACTATTTATTCATAATAAAACAGGGATATTGACCTAAACGAAGGGACATAGAAAGAAACCAAAGAAAGAAATTCAGATCGTTTAACACTATGAATTGCCATGTACCATTAAATTAAGTTAAAAAATATATTGTACATAATATACATATATATAAATATATTCGAGACTATAAATACAGATTTTTATATTATTATGTCTATTCTTTATATTTGATCTGCATGTACCAGTTGCTAGAGATACCTTCAGTAAAAAACTCTTAATTTTTGTTGAACCGCACACGGCCACTACTGGGTCTGTCTTCACTCATGGGTTTTTTGTTTGAGTTATACATTCATAATGAATTCACCCACCAGTGAAGACAGATTATGATACGTTTAATAAATTTTCTTTATTTAATATTTGTTAGCTTTTTTGCGAGAAAACTCTGAATTCTAAAACTCTATTCTGATTAATCCATTATATTTAGTGGTCTGATTGACAAAATTACTTCTTTCATTATTTGGAAATCGTGAGATGTGTTCTGGTGTGATGTAAGTTCAGAAAAATATTTTCTTTATTGTGCCAACATTTCGATCTTTATTGAGATCATCTTCAGGGCCTGGGATTTACAAACATTGTTTATATTTAACAAATACATGTAGAATGTGGAAAAAAGTGAATTTATACAATGCAAAAAAATTTGATGAAATTGAATATAAAATTTTTTTTTGTATAAATTCACTTTTATTTATATCATATATATAAAATCATTTATACAATGCAAAAAAAATTGATGAAATTGAATATAAAAAATATTTTTTTGCATTGTATAAATTAACTTTTTTCCACATCCTACATGTATTTGTTAAATTTAAACAATGTTTGTAAATCCCAGGCCCTGAAGATGATCTCAATAAAGATCAAAACATTGGCACTATAAAGAAAATGTTTTTCTGAAACCTACATCACACCAGACCGCATCTCATGATTTCTGATTAATTATCAATTAACTGTCACTAATCACCACACATTACTTCTTTCAATTAATTAATCTTTTTATGTAAGGTCTTGGTTGAAATGAAAAAGCTAGTGTCACGAGTGGGATTCGAACCCACAACCTAATGGTACCCCTATAAATTATAATCTGGTTTGAGCACATCTGTTTCAGTCTGTTTTGCTTAATTAGTACAATATTAGCCTTCAATTCAGAAACACTGCGGTCCACTCAGCAAGTAATTGCTAGATTGGATAAAGAAGGAAAATCATTTTGTGAAATATGAAATGTACTTAATAGGCGAGCCTTGACGATTCCTTTCATCAGCTCCCAATATTAGCTCAGTTATGCTGAAAATAGACTGTGTTTAGGCAGGCCAGAAAAATTAAGCACCACACAAAAGTGAGCCATTCTCAAATAAATGCTTTGCTAAAGTGCATTTAAGTAAGCCTGATGAGTAAGTAAACCTCAAGAGACTTATTTTCACAGACAATAGGCAGGAGGAAAAAGTGCGAAATAAACCAGGGAAACACACCAAGCTTGTTTGTTGCTGCATGGGCTATAGAGGAGTTGGCAATTTACACATAATCGATGGGATCATGGACCAAAACGTCTACATCAATATTCTCCAACAGAATTTAAAGGAAAGCACTAGTAAATTAAGTATACAAACTTGATCATTTCCAGCACGGCAATGTGACCCCAACACAATGCACGCAAAACTCAAGAATGGCTGGCTACTATATGTGCCTAGGTAGCTCTGGACACCAAGAGGTTCTTTGATCAGACTCTACTGAAATGGTTATAGACATATTTTGGAAAAATCTATGTGATGAACACATCCAAATTAGGAGACTGTAGTGGCCAAGTGGTGAGGGTGTCCAACTCGTATTTGCCACACAAGAAGATATGGGTGCGAATCCCGGCATGGCCCATGGCTTTAATTAAAAAGTAAAATGTTTTATCCCCTGCCCACATTAGAAGAATAAACATTAAGCCCTCCTGTATGGCTGTAATTAGATAACATCAGCATTAGCAACTAAATTTGCTTTCTTCTTCAAGACCATACCTTGAGGCTTGATCCAGTGTTGGTAAATAATTACATTAGGCAGGCTCTAGACGATCAATTATATTGCACAATATTTTTGACCTTAGACATTAAGCCCTCCTATATGATAATAATTACTTCACACAGGACCTACATGATCAATTATATTGCACAATATTTTTGACCTTAGACATTAAGCCCACCTATATGATAGTAATTACTTTACACAGGACCTAGATGAGCCATTATATTACACAATATTTTTGACCTTAGACATTAAGCCCTCCTATATGATAGTAATTACTTTACACAGGACCTAGATGAGCAATTATATTGCACAATATTTTTGACCTTAGACATGAAGCCCTCCTATATAATAGTAATTAATTTACGCAGGACCTAGATGATCAATTACATTGCACAATATTACGAATTGCACAATATTTTCACCTTAGACATTAAGCCCTTCTATATGATAGTAATTACTTTAGGCAGGACCTATTGGATCAATTTTAGGTAGGTAACACTTTATTTACAACAAAAAAAGAACATTACACATGAACATTTATAAAGTTTTAATTGGCATGGATGATTATCTGTCTACCAGTAGTTGGCTATGCATATTATTTCAGACATGCAAAATTGGGCACTAAATAATATGAAGAAAACCGAATTCGAATAAAGCAATTACAACTTGTTACTGAACTCATAACTATATTGCCAGGCATGACGTGCATAGAGTGCAAGGCCTTGCGATTTTTCAACACCTATGTAGTTTAAGAGATCAAGCTGAATAAAGATGACCTGGAAAGCACTCAAGGCCTGAGATACAAGATTCGGAATTCTGACAATATGGGACGCAGGGCAACAAAATGAATGATCAATTATATTGCACAATATTATGAATTGATGGTAGTGGCTGTGCCGGGCGTCGCGGGGGCTGCTGGCCTAGAGGGGGTCTACTGCTCCGGGCAGTACTTTGGTGACTGCCAGTGCTCTGGGTTGTGTTTCTACCCCTGACTGGTGAAGGATGTGAATGGCATGGCACACATGCACATTCTTCGAAAACAGTCAGCCACAGTTTAGTTTATAAAACAAACAAAAATAAGAAAAAAGGAGAAAATGCTGGCTTTCATGGGGGTGCAGTGCTGGGGGCAGATGGGTTCCCCCGTTCCGCGGTTCGCACACATGGTTTATGGCTATAAAGCCAATACAAAAAAAAATACTAAAACACATGACCAATTTATAGGATGGTAAAGAGGAAATTAAAACAAAAAAAATCTATTGTATGTATAATTTATGTCCATCAAAAAACAAAAACAAAAAGCCTTCAATATAACTAAAATCAAACATTAGAACTAGACTTAATGAATTTTTATTATAAGAAAATTGACAATCCAGAAACTAACAAAAAGGAATTAATAATACATTTTAATAACAGTTTATATAATAAAAACTATTGTTTGTACAACCTTAAAAAGGCACCTATTATCTACGTAACATGAGGTAAAAACATATTATCATTAATAAGAAGATACATGGAAAAATATACAACTTACTTCATTTGTCCTCTATTATAGCAAATATCTCATCCAAGGTCATATTTTTGGTCTTTTTGCTGAAAGTCTCGATTTCTGATGTAAAGTGAACCCAAAAGCTCTTACCTTTGGGAAGAAGGAAGAGGGCTTTGAATTTGTTGTAGATGTGATCCGCCTTTTTCCTTATAATACTTGTCAGCTCCTGGAACTCTTCCAACTCCTTTTGTGTCATCGTCCAATTCCTGGTGTTGCCGACGTACTTCCTCACTTTTTTTACAGTTGTAACAATGTCGGGGTGTTTCTTAAGCATGAGTGAATTGATAGCAAGTTTATCAAGATTGTCAAGGCTTGCTATGCACTTCTGCGGATCAGGATTCTTGAGGCTGAGAGATTCTTTGATGCTATAGTCAGCATCAAGAATTTTTCCTTCAATAGTAAACCACTCATTTTTCTCTTCTTTGCGCTGTCGAACCACTTCGGCATATTTATCTTTAGTCCATTGATCCATATGCACATCAACGGATTCTTTGAACTCGCCAGACTCAATGCGCTTTTTAAGGGATAGAGCATACTCCAAGACCATTTCATCCCAATCATCAGCATATCTATTTTAAAACAGATACTAACTATAATAATTTACAAGAGAATTTATAAAATTCAACAAATATTTTAAAAAATTCCATTTTATTTTTTAGGCCTGTTGTGGAAAAAAAATGGTAAAGTTGCCAAATGTCAAAAAACAAAATGGAAAATTTTCAACTAAAAAAGGCCTTTAAAAAAGGACAACAGACAATAGAGAAAAAAAATAATATTAGTTACCTGCTGTTTTCAAAATTTGGCCGATTGAGTGTTAAAGGAATTTTTACTCTGTTGGGCTCTTTTCCTGCAAAAAGAAACTCATTTTCTGGTCTATCGGTTTTTGATTTTGCAACTTTTCCCTGTTTGCTTTCTTCATTAAGCTCATTAAAATCTGCAAATCGCTTTGGTTTTATTTTTCTCCCTGATCTTGACATCACTTCAAGCGAAGATTTTGGACCAGATCTGTTCTTGTATTCTAATTTATCGTCTTGTTCCTTATCGCTGTCTCGTTTATCGTCGGCCTGCGTGCTCATTTCTTTGTCTTTATCTACCATTTCCGATTGGTTTTCTTCTACCATATCCATTGCTGTTGTGGACGTCGGTACTGGAGACTCTTCAGCAGCCGATAAAGGTTTCGCTCTCTTCGCCTCTTTCTCTGATACTTCATCGGATTCTACTTTCCTCTTTTTCTCCTTGGGCTTTGCCTTAGGAGTAGGCTGCATTGGTTTTGTCGGTTGCCTTGCATTAGAGACCCTCCGTCCTCCACCAGGTTTAGGTGTATCTGTTTTACCATCTTCAGAAATACGCTTCGCTACCTGAACAAAAAAATAAATGAAAATAAAGGAAAGATTATAATAACAAATCCAAGAGAATGTAAAATGCCGCAAATTAAAAATCACCAGTACATATAATATCTTTAAACCTGTTACATATAGCAAGCAACAAAATAAAATATACAATATAAGGAATATCTAGAAACACTAAGCAGAAGGTTGAGAAACAATGTGCTTAAGATCCAATTATCATTCCAGGTACCTATCTATTCACTAAAAGGAGCAAAGGCATCAAATTCCATAATGAAAGGCACACTGAACAACTTTCAACAAGCTGGGTATGAAAAATTTTGCCCAACATTATGTCCTTGCATCGCCAATTCACAAGAAAGATCACTTTTTTCACCCATCTTGAACTTGATTTTTAATGATTCTCTTAGAATCATAATTAATGTGAGAAATTCTCTGCCAATCTGGCCCAATGTCACTTGTAATTTTAATATATCATCTTTTATTTTTCATATTTCGTTACTGCAAATTTTGATTTTGATGGGTGCTGATACTGATTCAACCCATCCAAATTAAATCAAATTATGGTCTGGTCAGGAGCTTGAGCTTCTTCATACATTTGTCCATTTTCTTCCAGTCAGATAACTCACAACTATCACCAACTACTTTTAGTTAACTAGTTTTTCTCTTTAACCTAGCTTACACTCACTTGATGCCTGTTGAATATAAAGTATTGGGAGAACCTTAATCAACAAGTGCTCCAACATATGAGTTTTTTTGAGATGAGCCATCGTAGGTCAAATCACTCAAGATTCCCCTCACTTGTTTGTTCAGTTCATATGTAAGTGTTTAATTTTAATTTTGCTTTTTGTGTTGTCCTGTATTTTGTTTATTTAGCTCTTTTTGCTATTGAAGCATTCAATTTGTATTATGTACAAGCTAATCAGCTCTTTCTTTAGATTCTGCTTTAAATGAACATATGTTTGTATGTCTTAGGTTTTGTTTGTATACAATATTTGTTCATTATAAATATATTATTATAAAAATTAGCTGTTTTTTTTTTTCTTCAATGGGGAAAATTGATTTGAGATTCGAGCATTTTGACTTTTGAGCTGGACCCTAGAATGAATTGCACTCATATCTTAAAGAACCACTGTACTGGTGTATAAGTTATTTGCCCTCAGTTTTCTGCTGACTGAACATAAAGAACAACAAAATTAACAGCATTTTAAACTGAGAGCAATTACCATAAACTGGACAAATAAAAATACAATGCAATGCATATTTGATTTAATTTGTAATTGGACAATAAGTACAGTAAAATTAATATGACAGGTTTTGGGCTGTGTTTGCAAAGAGGTCACATAAAGCTTACGTCGACAACTCACCATGCTAAGTTAAATTTAAGGATGGGTTAGGGATTGAATTATGGTCTTATGCTGATGATAACTTAACACATAAATGACTTCAAGTTTGTCAACGTACCACAAACTATATTATTTTAAGTGTTGGATGTATTGACCACTTTTTTACCCATGAATATTCTGGATCATGGTATGGTCTAGATGAAAGAGAGTATCAATAACTGGGGCATGAAACAATTCCTTAGGGAGTGGAATTTATCCCCCGGACACAGGCAAACGAAAGAGTTTGTTAAGGCGATCAAACCAGCAGAATCGAAATGGCTATTTCTTATCTCAAGGAAGGGAATTAGGAGGCTGATAGACCGGGCCACTGCCCACTGAGAAGACACCTCTTCGTAATGGGTATCCTACCAGATCCCTTTTGCCGCTTCTGTGAAATAAAAGAAGAAACAGCAAGGCACTACCTCGCAGAGTGTGATAGGTATGCTAGGTCTAGATTTGAAATCTTTGAAGGAGAGGACATCACTCCCCGAGATAAAATGGTCCAAAATCTTGAGGTTTGTGAACAAGTTCAAGAGGTTTATGCAGGACACGTGAGCCAACCAAGTCCCGGACCTTGGGTACGGGATTGGGTACGAGTCTACCCAGGCATTTACCCCCTCGGGTCTTGGTCGCCCATGGCGGCTATAAAATAACCATTAAGGACAAATGGGTCGTGGTGACCATGGCGGCTTACCTATGAATATTCTGGATCATGGTATGGTCTAGATGAAAAAGATCCCCTTTAGTCTAGGGGTTAGGGCGTCAAACTCCTATGTGCCACACTAGAGGTTCTTGGTTCAAATCACCCATGGTTTTTTAATAAAAAAAATAATATGAAAAACAAGTGGTTCGACCCCTCATTTGTGACACCCAGCAGGTAGTTAGATATTGAGCCATCCTGTGTGACACTGAATAAATTACTGTACTTTATAGCTTGGTTGTGTCTATTTTCATTTTGATTATCCTAAATGTTTGGGACTATCAGACACATTTCAGCATTTTGCCGTATTAGTAATTTGCAAAACTGTGACATATAGTTTGTTATTTCCGATCATTTTGGTCTACCTATCCTCAGCGTTTTGGTCAATCATCTCACCAACTTAGGGTAATGACCAGTGTTTTTGGAGTCATCAGTCGTTTCATAGTTGTAGCATTGTGCTAACACACTCGGTTTGGAAACAGTAGGGTAGTGTTATGAAAAGCACTTCAGAAAAAAACCGATGTGTCATTAGCCTTATGTAATAAGTTGTGTTTAAGCTAATAATTAAAATAAAGAGGATTGCCCAAAAGTGGCTCCAGACATGAGGGCTTTACCGAATATCACTGAATATTTGCCAAGTCTCTATTGCTTATTCTGGCATTCACCAAATAGCGTACTTACATATACACCCGTGGAGGGTTTGTTATGTCGAGCCAATCCATTTTCAACCAACAGAAACAACGCTATGTTGTTCTTTCATTAATACATCTAGACTAGTTAGGTATCAATATATAAATAGAAGTATATACTTTCAATCCATTTCCAGACATCAAAAACCTCATTCCGATTTTTGTAATTTAGAAGAGAAACATTCCAAATTTTTGGTTCAAATCGAGGAAATCGAAGACTGTAAAGTTAACCCAAATAAATAACACTATGTTGTTCTTTCTTAATACATCTAGACCAGTAAGAATTTCGAACCATTTCCACACATTGAAAAGCTCGTTCCGATTTTTGTAATCTGGAAGGGAAATGTTCTAAATTTTTAGTTTAAATCAAGGAAATTGAAGACTGTAAAGTTGGGCCAACAGACATAAAGCTATGTTGATCTTTCATTAATACATCTAGACTAGTTAGGAATCATTTATTATTAAAAAATAAATAGCAGTAAATAGTAGAAAATAACTGTTGATTGATCATTACAATTGTTTTATGTAAGGAACAGTTGATTTCCAAATGTGTAGATGCTTTGATTTCGACTGCTTCACGAATATTCGTGCACTCTGAAGCGGACAAGAAAACTGACAATTAGCCGAGCACTGAATATTGTTGCTCGGTGAATAACCAAGCACCCCTTTGCTTGGCATTCGGCGAAACCCTTGTCTGGAGCCACCTTAGGAGGAATGGTTAATGAATTAAATCATTATCGATCATTTCGTTCTGCGTCCTCGCTCGGTTGATCTGTCTGATACGTTTCGACACTTCACTCTCAGTGTTGAGGCCCAGACTCAGTGAAGATGGACCAAAATGACTAGTAACAACCAAATTTCATATCCCTCACCTAAACACTCCATTTTAACCATTCTTTAGGCTAAGTATTATTGCTGTTCAATTAAGAACAAAACAATGAAGTTTTTATTTTTAAATCCCCTATTCACATTCTTTTTTTTTCTCATTTCAGAAATATGAAATAAATCCTCTTTGTGTCTCTGGAGTTATTTTTATTAATATCACCTTCTTCTTAAGAGATATTCCAAAGATTTTAAGAGAAATAGGAGAAAATATCAAATCCTTGGGGAAAAGGCGGAAACGGGTCCTCACCTGCTTGGGCGTCTCGCCTTTGCTTTCGTCGACGGATATCGCACTTTCGTCCAAGTCGGGCTGCTTCTCTTCGGCCGTGCCGCCGGTGGCCGCGGCCAATTCGGCCAGCTCCTCTTCGGTCATATCGTCTTCTATGCCGGCGAGGGCTTCGGTGAAGTTTTTGTGCTTTTTCGGCTTGCCGAGCTTCGCCTTGTTCTGAACGTAGGAGCAGATGTCTTCCGCTTTCACGACCCCTGTTTCCCCGGTACCGTAAAAATAAACGTGGTACTTCATCTTGCTCGGGGTCTCGTCGGCGAGGGCGTCGATCTTCGCCGGCCAGGGCGGATAGCCGCGCACCTTGGCGAACACTTTGTCACCTTTGGCGAATTTCGGCTTCATAACTATTTTTTAAACAACTCCACTATCAAACACTATTCCTAAAGGGCTAAATAATAAATAATAATCCTGTTAAAAGGATAAAAACACTATTTCACTCTGTTACCGCCAAAAACGTAACTTCAGCCTTTTACCAGTAACGAACAAATGCGAAGGCTTTTAGCCACAGCACCTTGCAGTCAAGGCAAACGATCCAGGATCACCAGCGCCACAGTTGAAATTTCTCAGAACCATAAACTTCGAGTAATACTCAGAATAATGTACGGTATTTAATGACCGTTAATTATTTGGAGGTCGTGAGATGCGGTAGGTTCAAAAAAACATTTTCTTTATCGTACCAACGTTTCGATCTTTATTGAGATTAGCTTCAGCGCCTGAGATTTATAAACATTGTTTAAATTATACTACTATATGTAAGATGTGAAAAAAAAGAGTTTATACAATGTTAGAAATTTTAGACTCAATCAAAGTATTTGTATTCACTCAAAGTCTCTCTTTTCACCACAAGAACATAAAGATGTACAAACATATCCTACATAACAATCACTAACAACACATAATCAACAGAATAATCAACAACTACAATTCAACGCTAACACCATCTACTATTACTAATGATACTATATCAAATCTATCAAATACAGACAAACTAACATACATATCCATGCCATTCATTAACGACCTATCACATAAATCAAATACATTATTCCCTTCTGATAACATTAAAATAATCTTCAAAAACTATTAACACCCTTTTTTCCAAAATTAAAGACCCCACACCAGTAACAAATAAGGCTGATGTAATTTACAAAATCAATTGTTTAAATTGTCCGACAATGTACATGGGAATTACATCCCAATATGTGGATAAGAGAGTAAAGAAACATATCTATGATTGCATAAAATCCTACAGCACTGGCTGGCTAACCACCATTTTGAACATCAACACAACTTCGACTGCAACAATTTAAAAATATTACCACAGAACAAAACAAACATAAATGTAACGTTTTAGAAATGGTTTGCATCAACAGAGATAAACACAGCATCAACTGTGTGCAAACTCAGTCAAAGCTACGTTAATATCATTAATCAAATTCAATATCAGTAACATACATATAACACACAAAACCTATAATACATTTCTTTTTTTCGTTCGCAACAGCAGAGGTCATATAAACCCTCAGGGTGCCAGTGTATTTGAAAAAAAGCCCATTTGTATGTCGGGTTCAAATGCAGGGCCGCTGGATTCGAACCTGGGACCTTTACCTTACAGTGATGAGCGCTGTGTCAAAGACTAAACCTTGCGGCCAACGAAGGCCCCTACCCATTATTTCTGTTGATGTAAACCATTTCTAAAAAGAGATAAACACAGCATCAATTACAGAACAGATACATGTAAACTCAGTCGCAGCTACGCCAATAGCATTAATCAAATTCAATATTGATAACATATATATCATCACATCACATTCCACACATCAAACATTTTCACATAGTCTAATTTTTCAACAATTTAGCTTTCCTTTTCCTATTTATACTCGTCTATATAATCCTGAAAGGATAATCTGGCCGAACCATTACCAACGTTTTTTCCCTTCGTTGGCTCTTTTCACCTCAAACAAGCCTTATACAAAAATGTCTTTTCTATACCGACTTCCTTCCCACCCCTTCAAAATTCAACGTATATAAACATAAAACAGCAATATCTCACTGGCACTCTCAACACGACACGTAAGAATGGCACAATTATGCAGAAGACAAACACTTTGAGCGAATAGAAATACTTTGATTGAATATAAAAAAATATATTTTGCATTGTATAAATTCACTTTTTTCCACATTCTACATGTTTTTGTTAAATTTAAACAATGTTTGTAAATCCCAGGCCCTGAAGGTGATCTCAATAAACATCGAAACGTTGGCACAATAAAGAAAATGTTTTTCTGAAACCTACATCACACCAGATTACATCTCACGATCTCTCAATAATCATTGTATTTAGTAAGAAATGACAAAAAGAGAGACAAAGTTTATACATGTTGATAAGAGAAAACAATTTTAAATACTGACAGAGAATCTTTCAATGCCAGAATATTCTTCTTTAGGTTGTTACTAAAATTTATTTTTTTATTTCTTCTATCATTTGTAATTCATGAAAACTAAACTGCTAAAAATGAATATTGCCAATTTTATAGTATTTAATCCATTTATTTAATAGTCTAATTGACCACATTAATTATTTCAAATAATTATTCTTTTTATGTAAAATCTTAGTTGAGATTAAAAAGTGTCATGAGCAGGATTTGAACCCTTTTTGACCTTCGGCATTGTGTTGAAGCGGGGTATGTGCTGTCCAGGCACTGCAGCCTTCTGGCTTATTCATAGGTTCCTTAGTTCAGTGCACTAGACTCAATCCTTCTTCTCAGAAGATTCAGGTCATTGACTGTCTCTGCTACAATTTCATTCCCTATATTTTTTTCGTTTGTTAGGTTAAATTTCCATTGAGCTGTTGCTCTGCATTTGAAGATGATATGCTGATTCCTCCTCCTCGTTACATAATCTGTAGATGGGATCATCGTTGCATACGTCCACGTGGTGTAGATGTTTTCTCAGATGCCAGTGACCGGTGATCCATTCTGCGAATTCTATATTTGTTCTACTTATCCTAAGTTTTAGGGGCCTATGTATGGTCTTGCAGATCCTCCCCTGGCCAGTTTGTATGCTTTCTAGTTACCCAAAATTCCTCTGTGCCCAGGCAGCAAAGATATCATCAGGTTGTCGTGTTTCCCAGATTTTGGAGATTGTGGATGCATTCACTGACTAATTTTGATGTGATTTTTTACATGTTAATGCTTTAATGGCTGCTTGGTTATCAGATCTTATGAGGATTTTTGCCAGTGGTTACACTTTTTTAAGGCATCCATTTCTGCTTGGAAAGGGCGAAGTGTATTTTTTGAAAAAATTTTTGACTACTTTTCCATCCAGTTCGGGTCAAACCGGACGTAAAAGTGTTAGAAGTAAGAAAATCGACCGAGCCGTCCACGAGATATATAAGAAGAAAAGAGATGGGTAACTCAGAATTTTTTTTGACTACTTTCCCATCTAATTCGGTTCAAAACGGACGTAAAAATGTTAGAAGTAAGAAAATCGACCGAGCCATCCACGAGATATAAGAAGAATGGCGATGGGTAACTCAGAAATTTTTTTGTCTACTTTTCCATCTAGTTCCGGTCAAACCGGACGTAAAAACATTAGAAGTAAGAAAATCGACCGAACCGTACACGAGATATAAGAACTAAGGAGGCTAAGAAAAGCGGAGGATAACTAAGGATTTTTTTGACTAGTTTACCATCAAATTTGCTTCATACCTAAAGAAAGTTATAACTACTAGTCTAAAAAACGAACAAAAGACTTAAAATGCAGTAAACATTATGACAAGAGTCGGGCGTCGGTGGCCGCACCGGTAGGCATTTACCTCACGCAGTTTATTTATCTAGTTATCCCAATATAATTTAAAATGTTATACAACTTTTTAAAAAACAAACAAATCCCTAACTTTCACGGGGCGGCGATGACGTTAAACCATCAAGACTTGTAGTCCTTGCGAAACTGATAACTCTACCCCGTGAAATAGCTTAAGTCTCATATTAGTCCACCTAGATACTTTGCATATTTGTCTTATTATAAAACATCTAATTTATTGCTTTGATAATTATTTTACTAAACTACACTAAAAAATATATACATATATTAATAAATTACGTTATGTTATGTTAAAAATGTAATTCACAGGCAAAAGTTATTTATGTGACCATAATTACATTAGCTGCTGACGCAATAATAAAATATTAATAATAACATGCTCACTTACCTGACTGCCAGCAGAGATAGAGTTGATTTACCATTTGCAAATCCCTCCTAGGAAAAGAAAAAAATTTTGTTAATATTTGAGAATGGAAGACAAGGTATTTATAAGAAAAACATATACAAATAAAATTTACCCTCTGAAGGCAATAATCCTCGCCTTAAAACAGCTTCGATGAACCAGCTAACTACACACTGTTCTACACTCGCGGAACAACTTAACGCACTGTTGAAATAGCACTTTGTAAAAAAGTAAAAAAAAAAAAAATGCAAAAATGACTCAAAACCCTTGCAAAAAGAAAACAGAAATGTATAAACCCTACAATAAATTAAATGTCAATTCCAGGCAAAAGTTATAAGATCACAATTATATTAGGCATATATACATAATTATATGGGGCAATAATAAAATGTTAAAAATAACATGCTCACTTACCTGACTGCCAGCAGAGAGAGTTGATTTACCATTTGCAAATCCCTCCTAGGAAATGAAAAATATTTAGTTAAAATTTGAGAATAGAAGACGAGGTATTTATAAGAAAAAGATATATAAATAAAATTTACCCTCTGGTGGCAATAATCCTCGCCTTAAAACAGCTCCGATGAACCAGCTAACTACACACTGTTCTACACTCGCGGAACAACTTAACGCACTGTTTAAATAGCACTTTGTAAAAATGTAAAAAAAATATGCAAATATGACTCAAAACCATTGGAAAAAGAAAACAGAAATGGATAAAGCCTACAATAATTTAAATGTAATTTCCAGGCAAAAGTTATTTATAAGACCATAGCTATATCAGCTTCTGGGGCAATAATAAAATATTAATTCTAACATGCTCACTAACCTGACTACCAGCAGAGAGAGTGGATTTACCATTTGTAAATCCCTCCTGCAATAAGTAAAAATTTTGTTAATATTTGAGAATGGAAGACAAGGTATTTATAAGAAAAAGATATATAAATAAAATTTACCCTCTGAAGGCAATAATCCTCGCCTTAAAGCAGCTTCGATGAATCAGCTAACTACACACTGTTCTACACTCATGGAACAACATAATGCACTGTTTAAATAACAATTTTTGGAAATGTAGGAAAAAATACAAAACGGCACACCATCACCTACAAAAGAAAACCACAGAAATATATAAAGCCTACAATCAATGAAATACAGTTTGCAGTGACAAATGTTTTATCAGATCACAGAAATAATTGTATTAAATATAACAGTCACTTGCAAAAATGGAAAGATATCATTTATTGTACAAATTCTGAATAGAATTTCCATATAAATAATTT